CACACACACACACACACACACACACACACGAGACGTCCAAACTCATCATCACGCTCAAAGTTTTCACTGATTCACACTCGTGTCTTCTCGTCCGCAGGTTCTTCCTGATGTACCTGATCAACAAGGACGAGACTGAACACACGGGTCAGGTACGTGAACGCAGTTTGTTCTGTTCCGATCATTTTGTTTCATCAGTCTCAAGAAAAGAAAGAAAAAGCTGCTCGTCGACTCCGGCAGCGTTTCTACCCACTTCATGTGTTGCATAAGTTGAGTTCAGCCGGAGGAAGAAGCGCTGCGTGGGTTCACTTTGACTTTTTTTTTTGATATTAACTTGTTATTGTCGTGCACCTGAGATCCAGGTTGTATTTTTATTTGAAGTGCAGCTTCTGTTCTTATGTCACAAAGCGCAGAAGGAAAAGAAAAACTTCTCAGTAGCCGTTAATAATCGTTTCTGCAGAAAATAAACGAGTCGAATAGTTTTTTTTTTTCGTTGTAAATGTTGATCCAGATTTCAAGAAGTTTAGATGTTTTTCACTTCTAAGACTCAGCATCGTGTCTTTTAACCATTTATTTATCTTAACCCCAAAAGCTGCAGCACAGACTCACTTCATCCTAACTCCCAAAAAATATCTAGTGTCCAAGTACAAGCACATATATAGAACTTGAATTGAGAAAATATATTTCTACATTAAATGTTTATCCTGTAAAACACGTTTGGATATTTGGACGAGGAGAAACGCGGTTGTGTCTGTGACGGACTCAAATCTGAGAAATGTATTTTCCTCCTTCACAATGTGACGATGCTCCGTCCTCTCCCGGCCGCAGGAGTCGTACGTGTGGAAGATGTACCAGGAGAGATGCTGGGACTTCTTCCCGACCGGAGACTGCTTCCGTAAACAATACGAGGACCAGCTGGGTTAGCGAGGTGGGCGGAGCCCCCCCCGTCTCTACTTTCCTTCCACCTGAAAGAGACAATGGAATCGACTTCACCCTGTTAACAGAACCTGAACTCTCTCTCTCTCTCTCTCACTCTCTCTGCTGCCATGGCGACGGAAAGAATAATCATTTTCAATTTTAAAAACCTAAAGAAAAAAAAAATATAATATATAAGTAAGAATTCTAACGAACGAGTGGACATTTGTTCATCCGAGTCCTTTTTACGTCACCTGCCACGATACCTCTTTTATGCAAAGTCATCCTTTGATTCTGACTCACATCGCCTTCTCACCTGTTTAACCCCCCCGACCTGCGGCACAAGCTGCCGCGTGTGTGAAACACGCGGAGGGTTACGGCACGACGACGACCGAACGTCCGAATATGCATATTTTCTAGATTAACGCCAGGATGTTAGCGTCACTTCTCAAACCAACCGAGTGGATGTGCGCTGCTGCTGCTATTGATCCAGTTGACGTCAGATGAAACGAGCGATCTGCCTTTCACAGCTGGTTCACATCTGTCCGAGGTCGAGACGAACTTGGTTCCTGCGGGAGCAGAGACGACTCACTTTAGGTGATTATCACGAGCCGACGTGCCTTAAGAGAAACTATGCACAAAAAATAATCTATAAAGAAAAAAACTCCTTTTTCTTCCCTCCTGACACAAGCGGCGCGCTCTTAGCTCTGGATTAGTTACAAGCAGATTTCGCTCAAGTTAGTTTTGTGGCTTTTAATTAAAAAAAGAAAAACCCCAGAAACATTTGTTGTATAAAATCTAGATGACCCTTTGTGTAAATGTTGCTTAGTTTGGTTTTGTTCCTGAGCTGTGGCGTCCTGCCTGCCTGCACTTCTTTCCACAGTAGAAGAACCCCACAACAAGAGGAAAACGGAGAAAACAAAACCTTGTTCAGGGATTTATTGACGACAAGATGGTTGACTGCTACTGTATGGCCATTTGTATGTATGTAGACGCTTTGGTAAACTGCATTTCTTTTAACGAGGGGGAGGAAATGAATAACAATAAATGAATTGACGCAATAAACCAAACGTGTTGTCTGTGAGCTGGTCTGTTTCCTCCTCTCTGGCAGCAGGGATCCCCTCTGACGGCGGCCGCTCTCCTGCGGCGTGAAACTTTTACAATCTCACGAGGAACAGAGAATTCTTTCGACGAAGCATGAAGTGCAGCGGGATCACTGTGACACGTTCGAGACGTTCTGTCCCGTCCCCGAGCCGCAGGAACTAGACGAGGACAATTATGAGAAATGTCTTTTAGCGCGAGAAAGTCTTAAAAAAAAAAAAAAAAAAGTCCAGTTTCCTTTCCCGGACCCGTTCAGGAGATCATGCTGTCGAGCCAGTCCTCCAGGTCCTCCTCCGTCATTTCCTGCTTGGCGGAGGAAGACGTCGGCGGTGTGACATCTTTCACCTCCTCCGTCGTCTCCTCTGTCGCCTCCTCCGTCACCTCACAAGCTGTGAACAAACCAAGAGAGGATGTTTTTAGATTCAACTCGTTTAAAGCAAAAAGTTTTGTTTTTGGAAAAGTTCTTATTAAAGATGGAAACGATTTTCATTTCTACGTTCACCTTCCAAATATAATGAAACAAATAAAGTTCAACTCGTATTAAACCGTGAACATTAATGGATTTGTGAGTAATTGACAATAATTCCTGACACATTGTTTTAAAAGAAACGTCTTTGAGGTTTGATATCTGACACGTGTCAGAAGATTTGACTGCAGAATATCTCAAGCTCTATTTGTGGCAGATCTATAAACTCCCATCCGTCAGGGAGAACACGCTCACCTTCCTCTGGTCCTTCACTCTCCTCCTCTGTGACGCCGACAGACTCGTCGCCCAGCGCTGGTTTCTGTAAACCGAGCAGCTCGTCCAGCTGCTCGTCACCATCGTCCTCTGGGTCTGCGGGCTCGGGAACTTTTAAAACGGCAGGCGCAGGAGCGACCGTGGTGGTTTTGGACGTTTCCTGTTTCGGGGCGAGGTTCATCGAGGGAAGCTCCACTGGAGTCAACGCCTGAAACATCAGGAACAAAATAAACACTGAGAGTCAAAGTAGAATTTAACAAGAGTCAAATGTTTCTCATCTATTTTATTAAAGCAGTTGAATAGTTATAATATTTAATTGTAGGAACTGCACCATCCAAACATTAAAAAAATATATATTCTTTTAAGATGAAAAACACAAACATCCACTTTTGCACACAAAGGTTTATCCTCTAATGTCTGTTGTTCTTTATCAATATATAATAATATTAAAATATTAATAAAAGGAGGAAATCGAATGACACGCTGTCTTTCTTTAAACCTGGACAGCACCAGAGGAGAAATATAAATAACCTGTGACGAGCCGCACTGAACACTGACCTCCTGAGTTTTCTCATTTTCAAAGTTCAGCCCTAAATTAATGTAAAAGGACAAAGGTGTCTTCCTCCTCTCAGGATTTATTTCTGCTCAGTTTTGTCTCAAAGGATCCGGTTTTGGAACAAACAGATCTATTGATTTTGTGCAGTAAAGAAACATTCAGTTGTTTGAAGCTGCAGTGATTCGTAACTCGAGATCCAAATTGATCTGAAATTATTATTCATAATGAATTAATCTGTTTGGGGAATTTTTCAAGAAAAAAAGTAAAAAACATTCTGTGATTTCGCTTTTCAGATGTTTCTGTTTTTCTTTGTCTTTCCTGATTATTTTGAGCTTTCGGACTGAGTAGACATCACTTCAGGCTCTGACAGAGTGTGAACAACCTTCTTTCACATTTCGATCAGTAGTGATGACAGTTACGATCGTCGAGGACGAGGAGGGTGAAACAGAGAGACTCAGTGAAAGATGGTACCTGAACCAGCTCAGCCTCCAGGTTGAGTCTCTGATGAAGAGGAAGCTGCTGAAGACTGTGAGCAAGAGCAGGGAGATCCACAAACACTGAGGACACCTGCACACACACAGACACACACAACACACACACACACACACACACGTGAGAAAGCAGCAACAGTAAAATCAAGGAATCAAAACACCTGCATGAGATAATAAACTTACTTAAATATAATCGAGCTTCACTCTGACGTGAGGCCGATTGAAACTGTGAAGACGAGTTTGTGAAAAGGAAACGTGTTAAATGTTCTGTGGCTGTTTAAAGCAGCAGTTATGCTGCGTGTGCTTGTACATAAGGAACAAAAGGAGAAAGAGCCGGAGGTCAGGAACCGTTATATAATCTGACTTCAGATCCACAGACACACGAGTCTGAGATTCTCAAGAAAGTTTTCCATCACAGCATCTTTGTGCTCATGTTCTTTAAATAATGGATTTATTGTGTGTTTTTAAAAAAAGCACGTGTACTTCAGTTGTGTGAATGTACTAAATACTTCATCTAAACGTCTGTTCAGATATTTTCCAGGACAAATGTAGACTTTGACCTGGCGGTGTAAATAAAAAGGGAAGAATAAAGTCATTAGAGATCATCCTCTGAATTTAACAGACATGAGCTCTCTGCTTCTGCTGCTGTGGAAAATTCTATCCAGATGTATCGTTTGCTTGAAGAATCCATATCTCATAAAGTGTGTTCAATTGATGAGAGACAAAGAAACCATGCACAGCGCGGCAGATGGAGCAGAGTATAGATTTACCTGACCGCCTGTTAATGAGTCCATCTCCCAGTCTTTTTCCTCCAAAAGGCGGAATTGAGTGAAGGAATCCCCTGAGAGAGACACAGAAAACAAGAGTTTGACTTCTCGCTGCGGCCGTTAACTCCCCGAGGGACTGTTAGGAACCACGGCCGATTCCAAACAGCTCTGATCCTCTTCACTTCATTCATCGATCCGGCTCATGAGGCCTAAACGTCTGCAGAGCGGCATAAACCCGAGTTTCTCTGGTCGATAGCTTTGTGTAAACTGTGGATCAGAGAGTTGAAGCTGCGTCGACGTGTGACTGTGCTCAGCAGCAGCTGGAACCTGCACACAGACTCAGAGGTGGTTCTGCTAATGAGAACAAACTGAGGCCGCTCAGTCAGAGCTGTCGACAGGTTTGTTTGAGCCGATGAGAAAACTTCACAGATGAGACGAGGAGTTCTGGGACGTGAGGACTGAAGCAGCACTCACGTCCCAGAGTGGACGAACGTTCATCACCTAACGACAGGATCACAGTAACAAGATGCTTGAATAGTAGAAAAGAAAAAATGTTTGTAAAACATGGAGGCTAAAAGTACGGAAGCTTATTGCATTCACTTAAAAAAATTAATTTAAAAAAACTCCGGTTTTTCTGAGTAATTTATTTTTTGGTTTGTTTTTGTGAATAATTTTTTCAGGTTTTTTTCTTCTGTTTTTCGGACTAATTTTTTTTCTGAGTTCAGAAAGAATCTGAAACAAAAGACGCATTCATTCCTTTATTGAGAGCTCGATGTGATGAAACCAACATGACCGGCTTGTTTAGTTTAATCAAAGCGTCCTGAACCCAGATCAAAGTAAAACTTGATTAAACTAAATAAGTCTGAAAAACAGAAAGAAAAAAAAAATGTTGTCAGAAAAACTCTAGTTCTCTTTTCACCTAAATCTTACACTCTGGAACTTTATTCTTTAAAA